TAATAGGCAGCATTGGAAAGCAGTTCATGTTGCAGACACATGAGCTTTCAAATTGACATCCCAGGATTTTGTCACATTGTGCTAGGAAGATTTGTAACCTATCATGACCATACTCTGTCTCTGACTGCCCAAGAGATTCTGTCTTTCTAAACCACAATTCTTTTACAAAATACACAGATACTGGCTGCAAGGAGCGCTGAGCAGTGGGCTCCCTCTTTGTCTACCAGTAGTCAATAATGTAGTAGGAAAAAGACTATGGTCCAAGACTAAACTAATGAAAGAAACTAGGGGTGTGACAAATGAGAATATCTGCCACCTCAGAAATACTGGACAATTCTATATTTCTTCACTGGTTAACAGAACTAAATCAAGCTTCAGTGGTCATTTGTGGATGCCCCAGTGCCTAGACATAACCCTGGGAAGGAGGCTGGTAGCTAGCTGTGCTTCATCCTATAAAGATGAAGGCTGATGGTCCAGAGAATGTTCTATCAACAATTTCCAAGGACACTAAAGCAGGAGAGAAAGAACATGTGGATGAGGAACAGAATGTGTGGAGCCAGTGGTACAACAGGAAGGGTAATATATGTCCATGACTCCATCTGAGCAGTACAGGAAGATACCCCTAACCAAGCAGAGGGCCTATCACAAGCCTGTCCTGGCATCATCTTGCTGAATCAGGAAACAGAGATCAGCCTGTCTGTAGAGATCTGACATGAGCTCAAAACTAGGCAATGTAGAACGTCCAGGAAAGGTTGTGAGGTGACTGAAGTAGAAGGATGAAAAGCAGAATACTTCCACCAACTTTATTCTCTTCTCCATCTCTTTCTCTCCCTTTTCCTTCCTCCCTTTGCTTTTTTCCTGCTGTTTCTATTTCCCCCAAGTATTTAATGGTGATAAGAAAAATTATTGCTAGAGCTAGTCATAAAAATATATCTGTTTGTCACCTACCATAAACATTTTATTAAATATAACATTTTCATTAATTAAGAATTTCACACATGCATACAATGTACTTTGATCCTATTTATCCCCTACTCCACCCCAAAGCCATCCTAAAGTCCCCAACCCCTCCTCCCAACTTCAGGACCTCGTTTTAATTTGTGAAGCCCATATACTCATGGGTGTGGAACCACCCACAGGAGTATTTCCCCAGGGACTACACCTTTGGGGAAAAGTAATTCACTCCCACCCCCCAGAAGAAATTACCTTTTAATATTGCCCAAGTAAATGCTGGAAACCATGAGCCTCTCCCACCTCAAGGTTGGGATGTAGACTGGTTTGATCATGTTGTGATTTTATGCAGGCCCCCAAGGCTGTTGTGAGTCCATGAGTGTATCTTATACATCTTTTGCCCTGGTCTTCTCTGACCTCTGTCTCTTACAGTGTTTCCAAACCTCTTCTGAGATTGCCTATGAGTCTTGGGGAAAGCCACCTTACATCTTTAATAATTAAGAGAAAGAAACAAATTGAAGAATAAAATAATTCAAATTCCAAGGGCCCTACCAGATAATAAAATTTTATGTTTTATGATGATGTAACCTTGAGATGAAAATGTGCCCATAGAAATTATTGTATTCTGGATGAGGGAGTCCTAAGAAATGATGAATATATGGCAGAATGCTGAAAATGCGTGTAATAGCCATTTGCTAATATTCTTCCGGATATCAGACCTTCCCATAAGCAGTTATTTAGAGGACACAGTGATGAAAGAAAAGAAGGAAGGGAGAAGGGAAGGAAAGAGACCTGGAAGTCATAATTGTATGTAACCCCCATACCCCCATATCCCATTGACAAGGGACTCAGGAGAGGGCTCTGCTTTTTTGGTATCTTCTTTTGTTCTAGGGCACACAGTTCCTTTATCTTATTTTCTACCCCAGTACTGTCATTCTGGACAAGCAAAAACAAAAAACAACCAAGTAACATTAACATCATTGCTACAAACCCCTCTGTGGGAAGTGCAGCAGCCTGGCCTGGGGTCAGCTCAGGCCATCCAGAATTCCATGCTCCATGATAGCTGGATAGTCTGCATTTTCCTTCAAATCAAATACCTCAGAAAACACTTCAGTTTCTAGAGTCCCTGCTGCTTTAAGATCATAAATGAGCAGCTCTTGTTAGGAGTCATCACTGGTTACTGGAGCTGTGACTCCTAGAAAACTCTTTCAACAATAATGACAACTGATAATTTTTTAAGGATTTTTGGGACTAGGCCTGTCTAGAACCGAAGTCTTTAAGGTTGTTATTTTAGTCACAACAACAGTCTGATGATGAACTCATATTATTCCCATTTTATATATGAGGAAGCAAGAACTCAGTAATTTAAAATCCCTGACCGTGTTATATTAGCATGTGAATTTCAAGGGCATGCTTATTTTGAATTGTCAAATTCCAACTTTTTTAATATTATGATTTCCCCCTCTGAGTGAAATCTCTATGTTGCAGACAAATATAAGAAATAACTAGGTGAGAGGCTAGAGAGATAGCACAGCCATTAAATCCCAAGGCTCATAATAAAAGGTTATGAAGCAGAAACTCTATTTTATATTAGATGAAATATTGCAAAGTAATAATATCACATAAGATTTTGGGGTGCTGGCCACTCCTTTCATCTGCTCCCTCAGTTCCACTTCCTGGTAATACAGCATCTCAAGGTTAGTATGTGAATGAAGGGTATATTATGGATGACTCTAAGGACATCAGCTCTGATCAATTCATCCATATGGTCAACAATGGATCCTCAAAAGTCAGGCAAACACCAGAGATCAACATCACAAATAACAACCATATATTTGCTCAATAATGTTGATTTTCAGTCACTGAACAACTCAACAAAATTATGATGCACACAGTGTTCCTAACAAATATACTAACATATGCAACACCATCCAATCTTTGTGCAATATGGCTCACTCGAAACTCCCAAGAATTTCAGAGAAAAACAGCAGGGAAATGATGTGTCTATGAGCAGGTAGAAGCTAAACTGAGAGTTTCTTCTTCAATTCCTTGTAACGTTGCTATACACTAATGCTCAGCCGAGTTTGGATGCATCATAGAAGCATATCTGTCTTTAAAAAATGGCTTCTCTTCTTTCGTCTTGCTTTTCTATTTTAATTCTCTGAAGTGCTATGATCAGTACTTGATTTTCCTCTAAGTCTCATTAACAAGCTGTCCTGTGTTTCAGTTTTGTTTTTACACATAAAAACACGTACTTGATTTTCCTCTAAGTCTCATTAACAAGCTGTCCTGTGTTTCAGTCTGGTTTTTGCACATAAAAAACATCTAAAACATGGTGTATTCTCTTTAAATAGCAAGTGTGCTGTATATTATGTACATGTCTGTATTTGATTGTGTAACATTGAATTTAAGCACACTCACAGATGATGAATTTTAAAGCTTGTTTGCCTTTATTGTGTTCATATGTATCCTTCTAAGGAATAAAATTTATTGCCAGCAACAGGGTGTGTCTTGTGTTTATTGACACACAAATACTTTCTTCTTTGAGATTGGCAAAGGTGTGAGATGTTGTCTATCTTCTGTAAACACAAATCACATATGTGGGGAAAGCCACCAAGGCTGCATACTCACTTAATAGAACATAAAGAAGGTATTTGCTACAGGATAAAGACAGGCATAGTGTCTGTCATAGTACAACTCACTATGAAAAAAACTTCCTGCTCAATCAAATAATTGATTGCTGTATTTGATAGGAACAATTCAGTTAAAGATGCCTTTGTGGTACAGAGAGAGTTAAGTGGAGGCATTTTCTGAATATCTGCACTAAATGTCTCTTAACCAAAATTATTTTAACAGCACGCAATGGCTTCTAGATTATTACTTAAAATACCTCCTCCTGCCCTCAGTTTTAAGAAGAAAAAAATCATGACCTGAAATAGAAGATCCTTGAACACTACCATTTCCTGCATTTACCAGCATTTACTTCCCTCATTACTTTACTGGTCCATTTCAATTTTCCAAGTCTCAGAGCTGTGGAAACCTATAAAGTTATATCCATTTCAGCATTGTGTTGTCGGTTTGGAGAATAAATAGGTAGCATAGTTTCTGCAGAATGATTCACCCCTGGAAACCGATTTTAGCATTGTTTTATGTTCAGCAACCATGGGATCTTGTGTTCTAAGACTTGTCAACATCTAATGTGATGTTTTCAGAGCACTAGAGCATTCAGAGTCTCTTAGAGTGTTATCTTCAAAATTTCATTTAAGTAGAGCAATTGCTCTTAATGTAAATTATTTTCATTACTATAACTAATAGAAAATTTAATAGCCAAAAGATATATAAGATGATTCTCAGAAATCCAAGAATAATAGATTGAATACATTATCATTATGGTCAATGTTATGGCACGTAGGCTGCAGTAAGGTATTTATTCCACCTTGGGAGACAGATTGAAGCACTGGATCAAATATTCTTATATTCAAATTGAATTTGTGATTCATACATTCAATATGCATTAATTAAAGCTCAACACACTATAATTTGTATTGGCTTTGCTGAAGCCAACTGCACTTTTTGTGTCAAATAATTCCATTTGTATAATGAATAAAGTGTTGTTTTTTATTTTGTATATTTTAAAAGAAAGAATTACTCAGGGGCACAAGCATGCATATGGTGGTCAAAGCACAACTCCATGTGTCTGGGGGTCAGAGGACTACTTTTGGGAGTCAGTTCTCTTTTCTGCTATGTGGTCCTGGAGATTAAACTCAGGTCATATGGCTTGGTTGCAAATGCCTTTACATGCTATGATGGGCCACTGCTATTTTTAATAGTAACATTCGTTGCCTTCCTTATCAAGGGGACACATGAAATAATTAAGCACAAACACAGGATGTACTATCACTACTTACTGTCTACATTTGAAGGAAGAGCAACACCCAACACATATTGCATTGTTTAGAATAACTGCAAGAAGGCCCTTTGCATATTCTCATGTGTGTTTAATTCGCTCACTAAGACTCACGGATTTATCACCCTCGTTTTCATCCCAGGACCACCAGGCCCTCCAGGTGGCCTGAGAATAGAAGATATCAGAGCTACCTCTGTGGCACTGACATGGAGCCGTGGTTCAGACAATCACAGTCCTATCTCTAAATACACTATCCAGACCAAGACCATCCTCTCAGATGACTGGAAAGATGCAAAGACAGGTAAGGTTGTACATTTGATTAGTCTGTTCATATTTCCACATGATTTCCTGTTTTGCACTTCTAATTTTAATTTTTCCTGCTTCCAAGTCTTCCTAATGGCCCTATTCTCCAATCCTTCCCCAGACCACCCCCAGCTCCAGATGGATGGTCTTTTTTCTTTTATTACTATTGTTATATATACACATATAAATGCATAAATATATAAATACAAGCCACTAAGTTTGTTTAGTCTTGCTTGTATGTATATGATTTTAGGATTGAGCATTTATTTTGTATTGGATAACCAATCAGGAGACACCCCCTGGCTGAGGCTAATTCTTCCACTCTCAGCAATAATTAGTTGCTTGTAGTCCTTTGTCTAGGAGTGGGACTCATGATGTTTCCCCTTCCACATAGGCATGTCTATTGGTACTCTCATTGTTAAGGGCATGTTTAGGAAGCTAGCTGTTTCAGTAACATGGGTGAAGCAAAAAACTGCTTCCACCAACTTTATTCTCTTCTCCATCTCTTTCTCTCCCTTTTCCTTCCTTCCTTCCTTTACTTCTTTATCTACTGTTACTATTTCCCCAAATATTTCATGGTGGTAAGAAAAATTAACAACCTGACTTTTGCTTTTCATCCTTCTCCTCACAACCTTTCCTGGGTATTCTGCATTGCCTAGTTTTGAACTGATGTCACATCTCTACAGACAGGCTGATCTCTGTTTCCTGATCCAGCCAGATGATGCCAGGACAGGCTTGTGATAGACCCTCTATTTGGCCAGGGGTATCTTCCTGTACTACTCAGATGGAGTCATGGACATATTTACCCTTCATGTTATACCACTGGCTCCACACTTTCTGTTCCTCATCCACATGTTCTTTCTCTCCTGCTTTAGTGTCCTCAGAGGATACTCCAATAGAGGATGCTCTGAGCCATCACCCTTTATCCCTGTAGTATGTTTTAGATTGCAGTTATATATAATTATATATATATATATATAATCATATATATATTATATATAATTTTATAGGTTTTAAATACATTCCTTAATCATTCAGAAGCCAGATTTCACATATTATTTTCTGTTTGTGTATGTGGTATGTGTCAGTATGAAAAGATATATGTGCAGATACACACATGTGGAGACCAGAGTCATCCAAGGTGTCATTCCCCTGGAACATTCACTTCTTTGTTGTGATAGATTTTCACTGGGACCCCAGTCTGCTGATTAGTCTAGGGCGACTGATCATCTAGTTCCATGTACCTGCCTGTCTAAATCTCCCTAGATCTGCGATTCCAAGTACATGCTAGCAACCTGGTTTTGTATGTAGATGCTGGAGATCAAATTCAAGTTCTCATGTTACATGGTAGGTGTTTTACCAACTGAGCTATCTGCCTGTCTGGGTGCTATTTTCTTGGTATCTACTTACCGTTCACTCCTGGAGGAGGTCATATTTACCTCTGAGCCACAGCTTCCTATTGGAGTCTGCCTTCTTGTGGTAGAAGCTTCGGGGCTGTATCTTTCTACCTTTTTTTAATACTGGTTTTCAAAGCAAAGGTCCAAGTCCATATCTGGAATCCAACTTTTACCACCAAGAAACTCCAGTTAACCTTTGTGATCTATCGCCTCTACTCCTCCAAATATCCTTGGGAGTCAAGTAATATTTCTCTAGTAAAACTATGTGAACATATGGAAAGCCAGGGAATACTCTCAGTAGAAATCAGCAGACTTGACTCCCAGTGAAAGTCAGGTCCCCATGCATATTCCAAGCTTCCAAGCACTTTGTCAGCTGAGCTTTCTCCCTAGCTCTCCTCTTCCAGTTTCTTGTAGAAACAAGAAACATCTCCCATGTTTCTTGCCTATGACTGCATCCCTTCACTATCTACCTCCATGGTCATGTTGCCTCCTTTTTTTCTGTGATGTCTCTCCTCTATGTCTTTTACAAAGATACTTGTTGTTGCACTTAGGGCTTCATATACAGTTAGTGGTCTTATATCAAAAATCTCTAGCTAATTTGAGCCTCTTTTTAAAATTCTCTTCTGACACCTACACTGGTTCTGAAGTTAGACATGGACATATTCTTGGCTATCTTATCATTTAATATAAATAAGCCACCTTTCCATGGGCAACTCAGAGTTGATGAAATGAGTGACATAGGAAAGACCAGCCATCTCAATCAGAACCATATCAACCAGTTGTTCTCCCTTTCCTTGATGAAGTGCTTTTATTGCTCCAGACCTTTACTTTCCCTCTATCCATTATCTAGAATGAAAGTCCTTCTGTAGTGAACTGTGCACATAGGCTGATTTTATGTGAGAGAAAAACCCTGTAGAGTAAAACACAGAGAAGAGGAAGCCAAATTTTTAATCAGACAATCAAAAATACATGTTCAGTCTTTCAAACAAAGTTGTGGCAAGATGATAGGATGGTTGACAAAACTAGTATTCAAAACAAGAAGATTTGGCAGGGTGAAGCCTGAGCTAGCCCTGCAAGATAATTCAAAAGTGAAAACTGGACACCAGGCACCCCCTCCTCAAAGGCTTTGTGTTTATGATCTGCATAAACAGCTGACAGTTCCCCAAATCCTAATTCACAGGCAAGCCTAAAAGAACAAATTGTTCAACTAGTATACAGGTATTTACATGCACTTGTGTGTAGGCTAATTATTAAAAACACATAGATATAGAATTGTCTTGGTTATGTTTTTATCATATCTCAATTAAATAAGCAAGCTAAGATCATATCTTAATGATGATTTATAATCTGCCTTGAGTAGCCTGAATGCTGAGAACTAATTATAGCACACATAAGCTTATTTTTTGATGGTGTAAGTCTACAACACTTACAAGCAATATTATTCACAGTGTCATTTTTAATTTGAGCAGAAAATCATTTGCTGCCCATGGAACACACTAGTGGAAGTTCACCCAGTTTCTGCCTTAGAAAATCATCCTAACTTTTGCTCCAAGAGAATGGTTCTTTTCTACTCAAGGGGTAGCCTAGGGATTAGCAGCAAGGCTGGGACTGGGTGGTTGGCAGAGGTTCAGGGTTGCAGCCCCCACCTCAGGGTTTCTAGACAGGCAAATTGCGCACACATGTGTCACTTCTAGTTTTTTATCAGTGATTTTTTTGCTTACTGTCTTCAACTCAGCATCTGTCATTGATAGATGTTTTTATGTCAACGCATTATATATGTGCCATCTCTAGACACAAAAATGATTTAGTCAACTACTAATCTCTACTTTATGCTGATTTTATTTAGATCCCCCAATCATTGAAGGAAACATGGAGGCAGCAAAAGCAGTGGATTTGATCCCATGGATGGAGTATGAATTTCGAGTGGTAGCAACCAATACTTTAGGTACAGGAGAACCCAGCATACCCTCAAACAGGATCAAAACAGATGGTGCTGGTATGTGCAAGAACCTTTGTAAACTTCATAAGGTTACAATGCAATACCTCTTTAATACATACTAGAATGCATTTGTAAATATTCCCTGTAATCAGTGGTTCATCTAAAAATGTATGTGTATCCCAAAACAACAAAATAACTACTAAAATATTAACATAGGAGTTATATTAATTGTATAAAAGACTATAAATTTCATATTTTCTCAACATATATATTCTACCAGAAACTAATCAAATGAAGTTTGTAAGTAGAATATGTATCTTAACTAGAAGAATTGGGTTAAACAGGTTCAATGACTTGGGAGCGTCATTGCTTTTGTGTACTACAGAAATATTTACAGCTGAATGTCCATGTGACTGTCACATATGGGCAGGGTTAGAGGGTAAACAAGGTCTGGAGACAAGGGAAATAGTAGAGGTTTGTGGGATCATGGCACTGAGGAGTCACAACATACAGGGTATTTTTTCTTAACTTCAGGTATCATTCTAACCAGGTTCTCATAACAGCTAAACCAGTTCTGATTTATGTTTTTTATGCTCGATACCAATTCCACTTAAACACTCTTTATTTTGATAAATAACCCACTCTTTCTTTACCCCATGTTCCCAAGATAAAGTGGTATTCTGATTCTAATGATAGTTCTTTTTGTTAATCCCTGTCTGCCAAAAAAAAAAAAAAAAGTCTAATGATAGTTCTTTTTGTTAATCCCTGTCTGCCAAAAAAAAAAAAAAGAAAGAAAGAAAGAAAGAAAAGAAAAAAATGTTTTAGGGTGAATTCATTTATTTTAACTTTCTTGCCAAAAATCAGGGCTTTATTTGAGTTAAAGATTTTAAAAAGATGATTGACTGCCATTAAAGTTCTGTTGTGGTCTGTTAGCGTCACTTGCCCATATTTTTGGCTGCCCCAGTTTCTTGGCCGGGTTTCCAAATAGAACGTTAAGTTTTAATATCATGGGGATGGCCACCATGAACTACCTTATAGAGTTCTGTGTGGTTTTATGCAGCTTCTCAGATAAGCATGATTGTGACACAGGGAAGAAAATATCATTAAAATCCCTGGTTTGTTTCTGAGGGCTTGTTAATGGGTGGGAGAGTTTCAGATAGTTGACTTTAAGTTAAGGACGTTACTTGGAACTTCCAAGGTTCAAATTCAGATGTCTCTTCCAGTTTACTGGGCTATCTCTTCAAGATAGCTTTTCAAACAGGACTCTGAAGACTCATCTACTTTATGAACTTGGATTAGAATCCTAATTGAAGCTTGAATTTCTTCCTCAAATATGAAGGCAGATGTCACCAGAATTTTTTTTGTTTTAGTATATTTTCCTACAAAATGACCTGGAATGTTCTGTTTTCTCTACATCACAGAAATTTCATTACGAGGAAGATGTAATCTGGGTTGACACAGACACCACATAGCCAGGTCTTGGGTTTGTTTATTTATTGCTCTCTCAGATGCCACCTCTGTCGAAATGGTGGCTTCTGTGTGATGATTTACCCTTTCTTGAAAAACAAAGAAAAACAAATGGAGCGTGATGTGACTGGTGGTTTTGACCACAGAATTCCATACTAAGAAATCAAACTTGATTTGTTTGAACAAGCTTTCATTTCAGAATAAAATTTCAGGAAAATTCCAAGTGTTTAAGTTGGGTTAGGTAAATATTCCATTTGTAACATCATACCTTTTTAGGCTACTTTTTCCTCTTTGAGTTGAATTCACTTTCTATAGTGTGAACAGTGTCTTTTTTGAACACCAGTTTTCTTAGTGAATATTGTTGACAGAGTAGAAGGCAATCTTGGTCATTGCTCCATCCACAGGGCTTCCTCCCTTTTTCTTAGGCATTTTTCTGTAAATGACATTTTTATTTTTATCTCAGATAATATAGTTTAAAAGTGCTCACTACCTAGATATAATTACTCTGAGATCTAAAGTAGTTTTTATATCTCATAGTAGAAGTGATGCATTTTCAAATATCAGAGTGAGTTTATTTTATATTACAATCTACAAAAATAATTTATATCTAATGATACATCTAGAAGTCATGTATTTAATACTTCAACTACACATAGCTAGAGTTTTCTGTCTTAGTGTCCTGTCCCTTCATGCCAGGAAAAGCCATGTCAAGGACACATGGGACCTAAATTTGTAAGAAGGGTGTTAGTTCCAACCAATTTCTTTTTTAAAATCAACTTTTACAAGTCTTCCCCTTCATTATTTTTACTTAAGTGATATTGCATTAAGGAATTAAATATTTCTCTGATATTCTTATAACTTCCTATAAATGCCATCAGAGCCCAACAGGGAACACAGCAATGACATGCTATCTCATTCCCAGTCCAAGATCCTGTCCAGGAACAATGTTTGCTCTGCTTCACTTAGTTTGTAAAAATAAATAAATAAATCCCAGCACTCTACAACACATACCAGGCCAGCAACAGAAGATAATTTAGTCTTTCCTTGACCAGCTTTAATGGCTGCCATAGTTATCTGTGTATTCTCAGATATATTGCTCGCTCTCTAATTGCATTGCTTCACCTAATTCTTACAATAACATTGCCAAATCAGTACTATCACTGCTGATATTCTCTTCAATAAGGCATTCTTATTTAGACTAACATTTCTTGACCCTTTAACCCTCCTGCCTCAGCCTCCTGAGTCTAATGGTTATAGGCGTGTGTCACTATGCCTGTGTCATTCTTCCAGATTTTGCAAATGAGTAGGGTAAGTTTATACCTGGCCAATGGGAGACAACATCCAAATTTCGATCATTCTAGTTCATACCCCTTTTCTGAAGATAGTGTATAGTGGTGAACTGTAGGCCATTGGTCTGATGAAACCCTGGCATCATTGCTTCAGAACTCTGTGACTCAGTACATAGCACTCTTAGATTCAGCTAAATATATTATAAGATGGCTATTTCCATATGAAGAAATAGAAGACATGTTTATAATTTAAGAAATAATATTTTGATTAAAAATGATAACAAAAGCATCCCATTTGCTGTGCATCATCCTGGGACATCCCCTCATCAAAATCTCCGCAAGTGAAGGAACATTAATTTTGGCAGCTTTTGTACATATTTGCAAGTTCAAGTCAATTTAATGAGGAAAAATAACATCACAATCAAGAATGGGCTAATAATACAATCACATGCCATTCAAAATTGTGCATTAATAATATAATTATATTGTAATCTCAAAAGTAAAAAAAACTGTTAAAAACAATCTATTCATTGATAATAGAACATTAAATGTCAGTCTTTGATTTTATAGACTGACATATAAAAATCAATGTCTTAGTTTTTTAAAAAATCATAATGAAATTTTGATGTAAATTGAAATTTTGATGTTTACCTTTTTGTGTTAAGATGAGTATACATGATAAAGCACCAATTAGCCAAAATAACTTGTCAGCATATTTTGTATCAAAGTTAAGCTTTAGAAAATACATGATCTTCATATTCAGAATTTCTTACATGCCAGTTTTTATATTGTCAAATAAAGCCCAAAGAGTTACTTACTGGAGATTATTTAAGAATTAAAATATAAAGGGAAAATTGGAAACATTAGGTTCTTTCCCTGAAAAAAACAACCATGATATTGAATTGATTTCCAAGCTGTTTTGGATCTATAATCTAAAACATGGTGGCCCTTTTACAAATAGAAATAAATTACTCTTTATCCAAAATGCTGGCAAAAGCATGCTTTAAAACATCTTAGTTTACAATTATAAATTTTGTTTATTCACTATTAATAATTTATTATTTTTAAATGTTAGTGCAAGTTTGTTTTGATAATTTATGATGTAAAGAACACCAAGTTCGTTCCCTGGTAAGTGCCTGGAGCCTGAAGCAATGACTGCTAATGTTTACCAAGATTTACTTCCCTGAGTCCCAGTATTCTGTGGGAAGTCTTCCTTCTGTGGGAAGTCTTCCTCCTTGAGCATGGCTGAGCAGAGAGTGCCAACTGCTGGGTTTTCTGACTCAATTTAGACATATTATGTGCCATTCCCTCTGTGAAAAATTGTTTCTACCCTATGGAAGCTAAAAATAATCAATAAGTCAACAATCTAGGCAAAACAGCACAATATTCTATCAAGAAACACAGTTCTTAGCCCGGTGGTTTTCTTGTTTTGAGTTTAACAGCATGGGCAGAATGAACTATCTTTAAAAAGAAAATGACTTTGAATTCCTTACTTGAAGCATGCTAGAGAGTAATTAATTTATCACAAAATAGAAGATGTTTAATCTAATATAAACAGTCTATTTTTAACTGTTACAACTTAAAAGGTTTAAATTGCCTATATTGAAAAGTATTACAAGGAAATGACTTGGCAAATACACTTGCCCTGAGAAGAGGAATATTTGGTTCTACACATTTTTATAACAGTTTATTTAAGTTTACTTTGAAATTATTTCCCCAAGATAACTCTACTTGTATGTAGAGTAAAACAATATCTGATTTATTGATTTTAGCAAGAGATGTTGGCTAGTTTTTCCATAGGAAAATGAGTTCTAAATTTACAATATTAGTTATGGGGCTAAGAGCATTTGCAGTTTTAACAGCGTGGCCTGCTGTATGTATGTCTGCATGTATATATATGGGGGGCTGAGTGTGTGTGTATGTGTGTGTATGTATGTATGTATGTATGTATGTATGTATGTATGTATGTATGTATTCACCTCTGGACACCCTTGTGTAACCAATTTTGCTCTCTAGTATATAAGTGGTGAGAGCTGAATAGTAAATTAGTCTCTTGGCTTTCATATTAATCTCTTCATGTGGAAAGGATATCGCATAACTTGAAGGACAGAAGGAGAAAGACGCATATTTGTTTTGATGCCGCTGAAGTACATATCTCATCAAGGAAGGTTTAAAATGTTTCATTGAGTCACATCTCTTTGTTAGACTGATAATCCCTGAGTGTTACCTTCCTAGGTACATTTTGAGATGAATGTGGCTAGGTACCTGTTGTGAAGAGGTTTAGTTCTGGAAGCACCGACACTTCATCTCCTTAGGGTGTGAACAGATTTGGGGTGACAGTTTACATGGAGCCAATGCATTTGTGGAGCACTGAACTTGGCTCACATGGCTGGGAATGCAGGGACAGGCACCTCTAGTTAGAAGCCAAGTCCATGTATTCAGAAAGAAGCAGTGCCTACCCTGAAAGGATTGCAAGGAGAGACAAAAACTAAAAAAGACACTGGGCTGTGCAGACAGAAGCAATGTGACTTTTAAAAGAATGAGAAAGAGTGACTTATGGGGCTAAAAGAGGAAACATGGTGAATTGCTAAAATTTTATTCTGAGGTCAACTACAAACCAGCTGTGTGTGAGTTCTTCCATGCACAATCTGTGAGTGAGTTCTTCCATGCAAATGTGTGCAACTCCTTCCATGTAAAAATGTGTGTGAGTTCTTCCATGTCCATCAGTGACAGGAGAGTTGTGCTATCCAGGGGATTAAGGAAAAGTAAATAACAGTTCTCCAGTTTAGAAACTACATGGTGCCATCTCCAATAGACACAGAGACCCAAGGATGATGGGAAAGTATGGATATACACCTCTGTTTGTGTGGCTGAGTGGCTCCTGCTGCTGCTGGCTGTGCTCAGTGGATAAAGAATGCATGATTTCTGTGGTAAATAAGTGCTATATTGTCAGAAAAAAACATTGTTAGCTTCTATTTACTTGTTGTAAATTTACTTGTTTCAGCACCAAATGTGGCTCCCTCAGATGTAGGAGGTGGGGGTGGAAGCAACAGAGAGCTGACAATAACATGGGCGGTAAGTATTAACAGACTAGATGGAGATGATGGAGTAGCTAGTTTTAATTGCAAACCCATTTTTATTAAAAATAAATTGAAAATAAAAGGGAATACTCAATGCATGCAAAAGAATAATTACCCCCCCATAAATGCACATCAGATTTCATCTGTCTTCCTGTGCTTAGCAAGCAGTTCCTGTGCCAAACAAGACACTGGCGGCTCAGGGATATGTTGCCCTAGAAAACACCCAACTATTTGATCCCACAGGTATTGTGAGCACATGATACCCACTAACCTATTATAAGTCGTGTAACCTTTTGCCTGGAGATGTACACAATAAAGATTATGTTCACAAATGGCATCAAATCCATTTCTAAACAGAAGAGTGGAACTCACTCAAATATGACTTCAGTCACTAATATAATCCATCTTAATCTGTTTAAGTAGTCATCCAAAGGGTTTGACACTAAGAGCTAAACATTTTGTTCAGCTTTTGTGACTCAAAGGAAAATTATGTCAGACTCTAAGTTGGCAGAGCAGGAGCTATAGAGACAGAGGAAGGTATGACAGCCACCAATTGTCTGAGCTAGACTTCTGGCACCTATACATACATACTCTGCACAACCCACTCATTCTGTATTTTTAGTATTTGACTGTTGAAAATAATAAAGAGTCACAACAAGGTATCAATGATGGCAAGAAAATTGTCAGGCTTTATTTTTATTTCTTTAATGAATTAAACTGATTTATCCAAGAAATGGATAGATAGTAGAAAGTGACATAATTCTGCTATATGGCCCTTTACTTCACCTCTTCCTCAAGTGAGATTTAGGAAAAAAAATTTTTTTTGCTAGTTTAGTGTGTGTGTGTGTGTGTGTGTGTGTGTGTGTGTGTGTGTGTGTGTGTGTTAGAGTCAATATTGTATTCCAAAGTGCAAACATTTATAAAAATTAAGACCTTCAGAAGTACAAATAGAAGGTATTAGAACTTCCTTTAACTCAGGGCTGTCTGTACCATCACACACCTCCTGAGAAACCCTGAATAAGTTCCAGGAAGTGAAGCATGGCTGCAGTGTTGAGTAAGCAGATGCCAACAGCCAGCATCTTGCACATGGGAGTAGTACAGACCGCTCTTCCTCCCAGGCACCTGCACTCCTACTCCTCCTAAAAATCAATTTCTGGTGATAACTGAGATATTCAAAAATCTGTATTCATATTATGGCCTTTAAATTCTGCAGTTTAGTCATTCATCCTCTATCCTTCCAGCCCTGCTCTAGGTTCTAAGGATGAAAATGAGAGAAAATTCATGAAACTCCTGTCTTTGTACAACTTATTTTGCAGGCGTTGAGTAGCAGTAGATAAAGAACTTAAATGTGGACAATTGACCACAGAAATATGAAAGGGGAAAGGAAAGAAAGCCTGGAGGTGGCATATGGGACACTGTAGATTCGTTGATTGGCAGATTCCATGGGCTGAGAAAACACTGTATGGGACATAGTAGTTCTCCCACAGGGAGGGAGGGAAGAATTAATTGGGAGTGGGTGGGGTGGGGTTTGCAGGCACACATGTGTTCAGAGAGCAGGAAGGACACCATTCCAGTAATGGCATCATCTCATGGATGAATATATTTGGGTGCTGTGGCATCTTCACAACTATCAATAATTTATGAAATATGTATCTTTTTTTACCTAGCACATGCTTCTCTGTGTGATTGCATCCTAATAAGACCCTTCCCTATTAAACTATATCACAAAGCTATTTGTTGTTTGAATTTTTCTTTAGCCTTTGTCAAGAGAATACCATTATGGTAACAATTTTGGTTACATAGTGGCCTTTAAGCCATTTGATGGAGAAGAATGGAAGAAAGTGACAGTTACTAACCCAGACACTGGTCGCTATGTCCACAAAGATGAAACCATGACCCCTTCCACTGCTTTTCAAGTAAAAGTGAAGGCATTCAACAATAAAGGAGATGGGCCCTATAGCCTCATTGCTGTCATCAACTCAGCACAAGACGGTAGGTGAATGAGAGACATGCCTGGCATCATGGGGGTTGAAAACTGTATTTTTTAGTAGGATATATTATGTTTTCCTTCAGGAATTGTATGCTAAGATCTTCTTATATTAGTGTGTACTTGGTAAGCAAGTGCTCTCTTAAGCCAGTGCTGTCTTAAATGTCAGCCTCTCCATGCAAATAACAAAAGTGTTGCTAAAAAATGTTTTAAGTCCTCATTCTTCTGATTCTATCTTTGTAAATAAGGAAATAGCTCTTAAAACTGTTGGCGGATGAAACCCAGTCCTAGTCTCATGATTATAATTTTGAGGCCTGAATTCTCCATACTTGGAAAACTACATGAGGTCTATGTTTTTCTGTGTGTTTTGAAAAAATATATTTTGTTATTTTGTGTATGTGGATATTTTGCCTACACATAGTGGCCTTCAGATTCCCTGGAAATGTAGTTACACATGGTTGTGAGCCATCATGTGGGAGTCAAACCTGGGTCCTCTGGAAGGCCATGGAGTGCTCATTATTACTGAGCCATCTCTCCAGCCCAGGTGTCTATGTAGTTTCAAACTCCATTACAAGACCCTGAATTGGTTCATACCAAGTGTTGAGCCCTAAAAATCATATACATACAAGTAACAATAAAAAACCTCAGCAGGTTATATTAATATAGCTCACCAACAATGAAAGCTTCATAACAGCAATTAAGGAAGTAGAAATCACGAATTTGAGAGAGAGCAAGGGGGTACATGTGAATGGTTGAGGGAAAAAGAAAAATGATGTAACTTAAAATTTTTATTAGTTAAAAAATGTAGTATATGTTGTATTTGTAAATTTGTCTGGAATTTTAACTCAAATTTTGTCTAATAGCAGCATTTATGTATATTTTGTTAATAAAATTAAATATTACAATGTGTGTGTGCATGATGTGTGCGTGAATGTGTGTGTGTGTGTGTGTGTGTGTGTGTGTGTGTGTGTGTGTGTGTGTGGTGCACCTGAGGGCATATGTGCGGGCCTATTGGTTTGTATATGTAGAGGTCATGGGGAAACTTCTGGTATTGTTCCTCTGGTAACATCCACCTTGAATTTTGGTTTTTTTTTTGATTTTTCCTTTTGAGACAGCGGCTACCTGCTCTGAATACTACAGGTTGGCTGGGCTGGCTGGCCAAGAGCCCCAGGAATCTGCCTGTCTTTGCCTTCCAGCTAGGAGTCACAAGCATTTACCACAACACTTAGCATTTTGCTTTTTTCCATGCAGTCTGGGGCTAAACTAGGATTCTCGTGCTTGAAGGGCAAGCTCTTAACAGATAACTGAGCTACCTCCCCTAGCCAGTTGAAATTTTCCTTTAAAAGATAAAAACTGTCCCTGGGAGGCCTGTTCTTTTCTGAAGGGAGACAGAGAAGTAGATCTGGGGGAGGAGGGAGGGATGGAGAGGGACTGGAGAAGAGGAGGGTGGGAAAATATGATGGGGATGTAATATATGAGAGAAGGAAGAATAAATTAATTAAAAGAAGAGAGAGACATTTGAGGATAGGGCATCAACACTATCGTGACTTTTTGTTTTCTGGGAATATTCAGTAAACAAAGCATGCTTGTCCAGGACTCTACATAAATGCAAACAGAGCACAGTTTAAGGTTGGTTTCTGTGATTCCCATGTAAACTGTGAAGCTCTTTACTACACATATTTCTGTTTAAAAAATGTGAGACAGAGCTGGAGAAGGCACAGGTGGCAAAAGCACTTACTGTGCAAGCATGGATTCCAGTGAGGCCCTATAGTGTGTCTGTGACCTCAGTGCTGGGAAGGTAGCGACAACAGGATCCAGGATGCTCACAGCAAGGCTAGCTAAATAAGCAGGCTCCTGGTCCACTGAGCCTGTCTGAAAAAGGTGGAGAAGCAGTTAAGTAATATATCTGAGCATAATCTTATCTACACATGCTCCCACATACATGTATGCACCTACCTGTGCGTACAACACAAGAGATATGATACAGCCAGGAAGAGGGCTTTCTTGCCCACGGGCTTCCTAGAAGAACCAGAGTTCAGATCTCCAGCACCCTTGTAAGAAAAAGATGTATTGGTGGTGCCTGCTTTATAATTCCAGTGCTAAGACACTTTGATGAACAGCTACTCCAGTCTAATCAGTGTGCTTCATGCACAGTGAGAGACCCTGTCCCAAAAATAAGGTTGGAAAATATAGGGGAAGACATCTGCCGTTGGGCACACTGGCATATAATACACACACACACACACACACACACACACACACACACACACACACGTAAAAGATAAGACATCCCTATTATGTCTCTAATTCATATGTATTCTGGGAGAAATAGATGGATAGAAAGGAAAATGAAAAGATTTCATGCTTTGTGTCCTAATGCAAAAACTCTTGACTAGGTTTCTCTTGGTGCACACAGGAGTCACCCAAAAGGAAGAATCAAAAAACTAAAGTATTGCACAGTTCTCTTTTGTCCTTTTAGAGAAAGTAATGCAATATTCTAGCCTGGCTGATTTACATGTTGTTTTGTTGTTTTGAGACAAGGTCTCATTTAGTATGCAACCCAGGCTGGCCTTAAACTCTCAGAAATTCTTCTGCCTCAGCCTTCTGAAATCACAAGTGTGTACAACCAGCCTGGCAATATATTCCTCAAAAATAAATGGAGAGCTGTTTCTTAGAGCTGTTTCTTAGAAGTCATTAGGAATTTTTAACATACATTCCTTAGTAGTTTCCATATTTCTAAAAACTGTAATGTATTTCAAATTATCCTATAATATCTTTAAAACAAGCATGTTATTTTACATATAAATATTTCATTAAAACACAGACATAAAAGCTGAGTAATTTCTCAACTAAGCAAACTAAATACCTCCAGAGAATAAAAGGTTAAAAAAATCATTTAAATTCAAAACCAGCCAGTAAGCACCCCAAATGGCATATTTTATTTCCTTTGTGTGTTGTCAGCTGGAGACTGAAAACAGGACTTGATCTCACAGAGAAAATACAAGTTAGAATTATTTCAATTATCTTTCCATCCAGTATCCATGTTGCTCTACTGCTTTGTTTGATGCTAAAGTCGGTGTTTAGGCACCAGCCACACTTCTCCTATATTCAGTCACAGATGTTTATATTTAGTCATATTTCTTTCTTGACTACTTCTCATAAAACCTGCATGTGTTGCAACTTGTGTAGGTTGTCAGTCTTCTTCTGCTAAGACATCAGTCATGTGCTACTTGTTTACTTTGACTGGGATGGGTAGCTGCTCACATGTAGGATATTTCTTAAATAGGATATGTCTTCGTAATGAAAGAAAATAAAAATTGCTGACCCCTGCTTCAAGGATTTCGTGGTTCTTTGAGTAAATGTCAACAGGGATGTAATTTAGTTTTTTTGTTTTGTTTTGAGAGGAAGAAGTCTTTGATAGATATTTGACCGGATGCCCAGTTGAAAGATTAGGCATGGAAAAGCTCTCCAGAAACTAAGAAACGGGAATGTTACAACTTGTTTCAAGGATCTTGAACTGTTTTATAATCTTAGCTTGAACATGAGAGGAAAATTTTATTAATAGTTATCTGTACTGGCAATTTATATAGATGGCAATAAGAAAATTAATTTTCATGAATGTCTGTTTATACAAAATACCAATTTCCCCATTTTTGGCAAGTAAAACTATTGAACTATGTAATTAAATTTAATTTGTATAAAAAGGCTATATGGAACATACCAGTTGGGAGTGTTTTTAAAATTACAATGACTGTTTATGGACATCCTGAGACCCCCGTAGTTTCCTGTTTTGTTAAAGTGCATGTGTGTGAGAGTGTATGTCTATGTATGTGTGTGGTATATGTTTGTGTGCATATGTGCACAGGTTTGTGTGTGATATGAGTGCATGTGTATGTGTCTGTGTGTGGTGTGAGTGCACATGTGTACAAGTGTGTTTGTGTGTCTGTGTGTACTGTGTCTGTGTGTGGTATGTGTGTGTGTCTGTGTGTGAGGGCATGTACACCTGTATTTGTGTGTCAACATCAATGTGTGTGAATATGCACACTGACCAAAGTTAAAATAAAAACAATAGAGACAAATAATTAGAAAGATTATTAAAACTATTTACTAGATACATTATAGTTCTTTTTCGTCCCTATACAAAAGAACTTTATTTGAACTTTTGTGTAAGCTTCAAGAGCTATTTGAATTGTTTATGTAAACTTCTGGCCGAAAAGTAACAGTCTTGTGCAATTTTAGCTCCCAGTGAAGCCCCCACAGAAGTAGGGGTGAAAGTGCTATCCTCGTCTGAGATATCTGTTCATTGGAAGCATGTTCTAGAGAAAATTGTGGAAAGCTATCAGGTGAGTTAAGTTTTTAACTTCTACATGGAAGCTTTAAGGAGTAATAGAGAGATATTACCATGATCAGATCATTGCACATCATATATTTATTGAACATCATTGACCCAATAAACACATACAGATATTATATCTCATTTAAAAATTGAGTAACAACCTGGTGTGATGGCACCCTTTAATCCTAGCACTTGGAAGGCAGAGACAGATCTCTGAGTTTGAAGACAGCCTGATATATAGAGTAAGTTCCAGGATAGCCAGGGCTACACAGGAAAACCCCCTGTCTTGAAAAAAACAAACAATAAGCAATAACAACAAAACAAATTGACCAACACTGAAGTTTCTACATGGCTTCTCTAGGAGGGAACATAGAGACCTCTGTGGACACAATGATTAGGCTAAAATAAAAACTTATATAGTAACACTCATCCTGTCTCCCTCGCTGCAGGTCAATCCCAATGCTTCCATGTACTGGCCAAGCACTCTACCATTGTGCCATACCCAAACCTTATAAGCCATATTCTTGTAAGATATACAGCATGATAAAATGATTGCAACCCTCAAGATTCTAGAAAGCATTTTGTTAATTCCTATCAGAATTTTAAAAGTACTATCTTCTTTTATTTACTAATTCCAGTTATAACTGCTAAATTAAATGAACATTATAAATATACTAAATATATGCCTCATAATATTCATGAAAGACATTTGCCTCTTTCCTGATTAGCAAGGAAATGAACAGTCTCCAGCCATTCTAATATTATCACCTAGCTCAGGGGCCAGGTGACCACACATAGACTGGATCTCTCTAAGTAACTGTAGGGTGAACCCTCTGAAACCATGAGCCAAGATAACGCAGGCCTTGAATTGTTACTGTCGTATATTTCATCAACAAATTCAGCTGAGAACAGTTCTATGAACATGGTCGACATTCATCAGGTATTCTTGAGTATTAGTTAACTGTATTAGTTAACCTTTCTCATGACATTGACAAAATGCCAGGCAAAGGCTGCTTAAAGAAGGGTAGTGGTCTGTAACTCCAGTTCCAGGGGATCTGGTGCCCTCTGCTAACCTCTATTGTGACTAAGCATGCAAATGGTACAAATACACTTCTGAGGGCAAAGCATGCATACACATAAAACAAAAATTTTAAAAAGAACATGTTACAGAATTATATAGTACGTTTGTCATACATATTTCAACCAACATGGTAGAAGAGGAGGAAAGCTATGCGGTGATGCCAATCATTCAGACGAAAATCAGAATATAAGCTTTTTGATTGAGAAGTTTATCTCAATCAAGTATTCACAAAGGGCAAAAAGTAATTTTTGACAAATAAGGATTTCTCAGAAGATAGCTTGAAGAGAGCAGAGCATGTGCCCTCTTATGGATTAGTCTTCCAGATATCTGGCTCTTTGGAGCATGATAATATATAAAGTTATGAACTATGCTATAGAGCACACATGGCTCCATATATACCATCTCTATCACAAAGCAAGTTGGGGTGGGGGAAGCACACTTGAACTATGCTATAGAGCACACATGGCTCCATATATACCATCTCTATCACGAAGCAAGTTGGGGTGGGGGAAGCACACTGACTTTCCCAGTTTCCTCATCTCTAAAATTGAGGAAGTCACACTTGTCTCATCAGATCATGACACCCTGTTCTGTGTCATGGACATTTAGAGGTGATTGTTATGATGTTGATGGTGGTGGTGGTGATGGTGATTAGGAGGACAAAGAGGAATAGGAAGAAAAGGAGGAGAATACCTATAGATACAAGGATGAAAGCATTTATTGAGTTCTCCATTAAACACACAATAAAGTTCATTCTATTGAATTTGCATACCACATGTCTGATTGATAATTTCCACAGCCAGGTTTTAATCTGGCCCTTGTCTGTCCTGAGAACAGATGGTTTACAAAGCTTGAAGTAAGTCTGAGAAGGAATCTTTCTAATTTTTCTTTCTTAAAAAGCCTTTTAGCTTCTCACTCAGAACCTTAGCTGTCATAGAGACAAGCACAGAAGCTTAAAGGAGAGAAGGTAGTACTATTTATTTCTCTTGTAAGAAAAATTCCTGTGAGTATATGGGGTGAGGTAGACTGACTATGATATGATTATTGTTTTGATTTTAAAATATGTGAGAAGCCAGTGTAACATACATGGTTATGAAAAACAGTCCCTTTTCTTCCCTAAAATATATGATGAATCTGAGTTATAAAGCTACAGATGCAAAAGCATCATATTAAAAATGTGAAATAAAATACAGTGGTAAGGAAATCCTACATTTCGCATGCTTAGGCCCAATTCAAGGTTAAATTCTCGATATATCAAATAAGTACTACAGGCAGTGGAGTCTAAAAATGTGTGTGTGTGTGTGTGTGTGTGTGTGTGTGTGTGTGGTTTTTAAAATATGTTTTGGAAAATTTAAAGTCACTCCCCCTCTTCTTGATGAAACAGTCCCTACTTCTAGTCTTAACCTATGATTTTCCTGTGATGTGAGTGATCCCTGAAGTTCTACTTATCAGCGATGTTTTATCAACATCGAGCTCCTACTCAGGCGTCCACAAAAGACTAACTTTGTTCACTCAGTGGAAGAACATTTGCTGAAATAATTTAATGAAAATAAGCCAAATAGGCTTTGATTGCAAAACTCTTATGAGCTAGGTTGTTATGAATACAGTCATCATAGAGGATTTATAATGCAGGGCCACGGGATGTTACAGGGAAAACTGTCAGCTGAGCATGTACCAATCTTAAGGGAGGGCTCAGCTGTCTTCCTTTGGTGAAGGTGCCTGTCTTAGGATCTCTGACACAAAGGTAGGGGGAAAGGTGCTCTTTCATTATTTTTTGTTAACTTATTTTAACATTGCTCTAGGGAATGGTTGGGAAGAAATGACTAAGTTATTGTTAGATAGAGGGGTGTTCTATGTTAATGGCAGCCACTGTGGACACCCAGAAGTCCACCCTAGAGACTTTTAAACTTGGTGTCTGTGGCCCAGAATGGCTCTGCTTTGGAGAGAAGGTCAGTCATTCCTTCACTCTTCACTCTGATTAATAACACCCCATAGGCACTACCTTAAACCCACTTCCAGCACCTATTGAGCAAGTTTCACACTGAACAAGCTGAATGCAGACACATTGCTGTTGGTAGGAGCAGAGAGACATGCTGTCTGGCATTCACTAAAAGCTGTCTGCATCATACTTGGAATAGGTTGATGTCTTCTCCAAAGACTAGAATAAAAAAATAATTTTTTATTTTTATCTTCTGAGTATGAGTGTTTTGGCTGCATGTATTCAATGAATGAAGGGGTCCTAGAATAGCATATACCTGTCCTCACAGAGCTGACCATCTAGGAAGAATGTAGAGCAATTCCATAATTATTTAATAGGCACTATTATAAGCTAACAGTAGACAAGGGTCCTATGGATAATTAAAAAAAAGCAAATAGAGAAACAGATCAATGCTACAACATTAAAACTAGAGAAGTAAATGTAGGGTATGTTGTTCTAGCATGCACAGGTGAATTTATGGCTTTGGGGAGATGGCTCCACCAGTAAAGTGTTTGCCTGTTGAGCACATGTGTTAGTATACAGGCATCTGCACTGGCCTGTCCTTGGGGTTCTGACAGGATACATCCTCAGCTGCAGCGGCTAAGAGCACCACCTGTGCACATTCACTATGTTCCCTTTTAAAAGGACCCTGCTCACCTCATATCTCTCCCCCCCCATCTCTCTCTGCCCCTCTTTCCTCTTTCCTTCTTCTCCTATCCCCGGATGCCAGTCTTCCCTCTCCTCTTTCCCTTTTTTATGATCTTTATCCCCTAATTAAAAAAAAGAAAAACCCTCTGCTTGAAACCTGTCACATGGCATCCTTCTCTCAAATGCTGCTTTTCTTAAATTACAACAATGAGTTTTATCCTCAGAACCATATGACAAACATAACCAGTTGGAGCAGTGAGTGCTTGTTATTCCAGAGCAGGGAAAAGAGAAACAACTAAATCCAGGAGTCTCACTGGCCAGCCCACTTAGCCACCTTAGCAAGCTCTAATACAGCTCATGAAGAAAAATACCTAAGATTATCCTCACATATCCACACATATGTGCACAAGAGCCCCACACACAAAAAGTGCACCTGCATTCATATACACATGGAAAAAAATTTCTATTGCTAAACTGATAATCTCTTATTTGTTGTGTACTTCCTCTATTGCTGGAGATAATCAGTTCCTATTCATTCATGTATCTTCTGCAGTGAACTTCCTGGAAAGTAACCTCAATTGTTACATTTATGCTGATTGACATGAAGGTTGTGTCCTTTATTCTGAACATTTTTCTCATGAATCAGTTTAATGTTTTATACACATAAGCTTGACCCAAGGATCAAGAATCCCAAGTCCATCCTCTATTTGGGAATGAATTCTAACATCACAATTAATAATTACTTCAGATAAAAATGATGTCATATTATTTTAAATGTTTATTATATTTTTGACAATTTCAAGTTTGGGGCATTTTGGCCCCCATTATCCTCTCTCATACCCACCCCCTTGTACTTTGATATCTTTTTTTTTTCTAGCCTACTCAATTTAATTAAGTCTGTGGGGTGAGTGTTTCCTGGAACATAAGAACCTAACTAGTTGCTACAACACTGAGGAAAATGAGTCTCCTCCCACACCAAATAACTGCCCATAGACCATTGTCAGTGAGCTATGAGCACATAACTCCCTCCTCAGAGATAATGCCATATTTTACATTCATATCCCTACTTGAGGACTAATTGAAATATAAGTCATGGGTAAACATACATTTAACGGGAGTCTAACTATGCAAGGAAGCTATCTGTGTTTATTTGTGAAATGTTAATTTTCATATGAACAAAGCCGTACAAGTTTCATATTAAAACAAAGACACTGGGGACTCCTTTAGATGATCTTCTTGCTCCCAAGTTACAAGGTTATTGCTTGTGTTGGTTCTAAGTTTTAATTAAAAACTGTTACTCTCTAGATCCTTAGAGAGCTGGATAAACAAATGAACAGGTCTTTTTAGGATATAGCTTCAAAAATATTAAGAAAAATGCAGTACATCCTTAATGTTTGACATCCCAAATGTCACATGGGATTTTGAGTAAGAAAATGTGTGTGATTAATCCTCATTTTATCACATGAGTTTATAGAATCTTATTACATTGTTTTAATCTATGTTTTAGTTAGGGTTACCATTGCTGCAATGAAACACCATGACTAAAATAGAGTTGGGGCCAAAGGGTTTATTTTGCTTATGATTCTGCATCACTGTTCATCATTGAAAGCACTCAAGATGGGAACTTGAACAGGGCGGTAACCTGGAGGCAGGAGCTGAAGCAGAGCCAATGAAGGGATGCTGCTTACTGGATTGCTCCCCATAGCTTAGTCAGCCTGCTTTCTTATAGGATCAAGAACCACCAGCCCAGGTGTGGCAACACCCACAGTGGGCTGGGCTTTCCCACATTAATCACAAACTTGATGCCCCACAAGCTTGCCTATATTCTGATCTTATGGAAGCATTTTTGCAATTGTGGTTCACTCATCACAGATGACTCTAGCTTGTGTCATAAATGACATAAATTCAGCATGGTCTATAAACTTCTCTTTGAAGTGGATATAAGTGCTACTATGATATAATGCTTTATAACATTGTTGTGCAATACACATAAATATCAAGATTCAGGAATCTTAAAGTCATTGGTTTTGACTGCTGTACACCTCTATGTGTTCTACCATTCAAAGTTTGTTTAGAAGATACTGTATGTGGATGATCCTAATGAAGTGCCTGGAATTTCTATGAATGTAAATATTCATTGTATTTCTCCCCTGGTTAGCAAGGCAAAGGCCTCATGTGTTGTCAAGTTCAAAGTCCCATGAAGATAGAAGCCATCTTCCACACACTTAAGTGAATGGGATCTCAGTCTAAATCTTCCAGCACTGCACAACTGGGGACTTCTCAGGAGGGTCCTGCCCTATCCAGATACCTGTCAACAGAAATTAGACTACTGGGCTGTTTGTGCATTTTCACTTGTTGTATCTTGAGATGATAGAAATGCCAGTGATTCCATCAAAACCATCCAAAAATATGATATTGACGTCATCAAAGTGACCACTAGAAAGAAAATAAAAGTAACACAGAAGAAACCAATAAACAATGAGCAATTATCCTGCATTTAGAAACCCACACATCTGACATGTAAACCTTGCAATGTACCAAGTAGACTAGGCTCACTGAGTTCCATTTTATATTGGCCATGTGTGTGCTTGTGTGCTAGTGAGAAACTTAATATCATATTAAGATTATATGATTTTATCAGGGTATTTTGGCTGGTTTTGAAAATAAAATCCCATTACTTTAAGCAGTGTATCTAAATATGCAAAATTCAAATACACTTATAAAATTCATTTTTATTCGTGTTTTAGATGTGATTATTGATTTATTACCCCTAGCCTTTAGGAATCAAATTCAAATTTATAACTTGTATTAAGCTTTGAGACAAAGAAGGCTGTAGTTAACAAGAGGAATAATTCTAATAATAACATGGAAATATTTTTGAATATCTTAATCAGTGGTAATTTCTATAACTCACCAAATAATTAGGTATTTTACACAGACTATGGTACTCTGGGTTCAATGGGCCCACAAGATAGAATGAGAGAAACAACTTCTGCAAGTTAAACTTGTACTTCCACATGTAGGCTTTATCAGACTTTCATAAATGGGCATACTCTCTCTCTCTTCCTCTCTCTCTCTCTCTAAAATAATCATAAATGATTATTAGTAAGTAGCTAATATACATATATACATAATATTACATATATACTTACATCAGAGAGGATTTTGTTAGAAGAAAGTCATTTGCCAATGCATTCTAGACCACACAATGAGATTTTTGTCAAGCAAGGCATATTTCTGCCAAACTATCGGAATCTCATAATGAATTGAAACCATATAAACAGACATAAAGAAAGAAATTAAGAATGAAATTATTGTCATAAGTATTTCCAGAAAGATTGCTTTCATATTTTGAAAGCAGATCTTATCAGCCTCCCTGCCTCCTCCATCTCTCTCATCAACACAGGGCTACTACAGTCAGCGGAGTGTAGATTTCATTTAATTGCACGACTTCTGGTTAGATCTCACTATGAAAATGCCAAATAGGAGAGCAAATGCGCCATTATGTGGCATTGAAAATATGGTGACATGCTACCAGGGAAATAAAGCCCATGGGAATGAATTTTTCATACAAAGAGCTCTATCACAGTAAAATATCACTCCTCTTGGATATTTGCAGATTCGGTACTGGGCTGCACATGACAAAGAAGCAGCTGCACACCGAGTTCAAGTAACCAGTCAGGAATACTCAGCCAGGCTAGAGAACCTTCTGCCCGACACCCAGTACTTCATTGAAGTGGGAGCCTGCAACAGTGCCGGCTGTGGACCTTCAAGTGACGTGATCGAGGCCTTCACCAGAAAAGCCCGTGAGTATCATAACTCGATTGTAGACACACCAAAAGCTCCCACTTGATTAAAATGAGATCCTGATGGTAGGCAAATATGAAAAGAATGTTCTATCCAGCTGCTCACACACTTTTGGTTTTCAGTGCCACATCCTTTATCGTGCCTTAGAATGTCTTTCAGCATCCCTAGCTATTGCCAATAAGGGAGAACTGAGACGCATGCTTTTACACATTTTTATTCTACTTCCCAGGACCATTAGCAAGACCCTCCTTCAAACTATAGGCCATTAGAAAATCAACTAGACTACCGTCTATGTTTATTAACTTAACTTTTTTTCATACAGGTGCATTGAAAGTATAATAAAATCACAATTGTATTGATTTTCCTATGCTTTATTCATAGATCATCCTTGTATAACATAGATACAATCTAAACTGTCTAGCACTGAGACTGCTCTCTGTTCTCTTTGTTCACATGACAAGTGCTCCTTAGATCTTGGCATTCTCATCTCACCATATTCACTTTGGCATTTTTCTTCTGGAACCCAGTTGAATATGAATACAAAGGAACAACTGTATGCAGGAATTTAGGACAGTCACAAGTTTCTCTAAGTATGATTGCCATTAGTGTTTGCAATGTTTTGGAAATCACTAAGCAACGCATCTCCTAATACACTTGTTGGTAGATGGTGTCAGACATGGTTTTGAGTTGTACTCTGCTTGCACTAAGCTTATGACAGCAGTCAATTAGCTTTCCTTCTTAAATATTGATCTTTTTTGCTTTGCAAATGGAGCATTATTTATTGATGTTGTTCATCCTATTTTCTTATTACAAATATGTGTTATGTCCAGAATAGTTCTACATAGAAAGGATACAAAGGAGACCACACCAAACTTTAAAACTCAAGCTAAAACCCTGTTCAATAAGTGTGGCTATGTCCCCAGACAATAGGATAACTGAACTGATAAAAGTGAAAATGATTTGTGTTGGAGCCAATTCTAATGAAATGGCTGGAAGGACTTTGAAACAATGCCCTGAAAGCTAGAATATATATGATAAAAATAAGAAGGACCCATTTTGTGAGAAGCTTGGAGAAGACCATTTTGAAGAGAGAAAATAAGTATCCAGAATTTGAAATATTTAATTTTGGAACACCAATAGGACCAAAACATGGCTCTGTGGTGAAGAGGGGAAAGTTTGCTGAACTCAAAATGTGAGGTACTTTTTAAGTCAACATGAAAAGTTGGGGTACTTTCTGAGTGTGATAATAACCTGTCTTTCTAAGTCAGAAAGATACCTAATTATGCTATGTGGAACCATCATTCTGACTCCCATGCAAACAACGGACAGTGACAATTAGAGTAAAAGCAGAAGAGCGAGTCCAGAATCGAGAAGAGAACCACTGACAGCTAGTATGAAGGGCTAGCATAGAGAGATTTGGGAATTATTCCTTATGTGGAGTTGGCTGAACATATTGCTAACTTGAGGGTTGGCAATAAATGGAACAAATACCAGATTTTTGCTTCAGAAACTAGATGCATGCTTGTGCAGTTTTCAGATGATAGGATATACTCCTAAGAGGCAGATTTGAGGCTACATAGCCAGTTATTCATCCTTATATTTGGACATCAGACATTCAGTATAGAAAGTTCAAGACATATTTAAAGGACAGTAGATAGATTAGGGCTATAGACTGACTTGGAGTATTCAAGTGCATAAGAAAGACTCACAAGTAAAGCAATAGTCTGAACAAACTGGAAGAAAAAGAAATCAAATGAGAAGGGAATAAAGATGACTTTATTCCTTGCCTCACAATGGGAGAATTAAGTGAACTCTTGAACATATGGTATCATGCTGCACATATGAAATAATCCTCAGAAGGGATGCTGTTGCTCACAGCATTGTTTTCTTCAGCACCACAGACCATATGTGATATAGTTTGCAGAAGCAAGGTTCAATCTGGTGACAACTCATTACCTGGTCTTCTTCCCACAGCTCCCAGCCAACCACCACGTATCATCAGTTCAGTGAGGTCTGGCTCCCGCTATATAATCACATGGGATCATGTTGTTGCCCTCTCGAATGAATCCACAGTGACAGGATACAAGGTAAGTAAGAAGTGTCCAGCCTCTTCTCCACGTAAGCTTTATTCCTGCTGACACTGATGTTTGTTGCTTCAGCTATCAGGAAAATCCTGTTGGCTTTCTCATTCTACCCATACAGCAGAGTCAAGACAGAATCTCACAAAAAATCTTTAGATAAGAAAACATATTTAGTGGATTTTAAGAAAATTCTATGGCAAGCGGGCAAAATAAATATAATACCCCCTTTAAAAAATGGAGCTGTCAGCGTAACCATTGCTTAGACAAGAGACAGAATGCATTCATTTTTGTTTGTTGGAGAGTGCCGGTTATAGCATTGCCTTCTTCCTTTGCTGTAAACTAAAAGGAAAGGGTTATTTCCATGGATTCTCAACAATCCACATTATTGCATTATCTATGTAAGCTCTAGGAATAATGTGGAAAAGGCTTTTAAAACTGAAAGACCTTTGCTAGGCCACTACAAAATTTGTTAAGCTTGCATTTTATATTTTCCTGAAAAAAAGGGTCCATCTTTTTCATGGTATATTTCTAGTCATTTCAAAGAAAAAGTAAAAAAAAAAAAGAACAACAACAAAAAGAACTTGAGAATATGGCACATGCTTTTGAATAAACCCCAGAACAGCAGGAGCCAATTCCCAGGGAATAGAAATAGTGTGAATGATCCCTCAAAGTTTGAATGTACTTGATTTTATGAACCAATGTGCTGATGTTAACACTAGGCATTGGCTCAGAATTGTGACCGCATTAACTATTCATAATTTGGGACTCTGTAGATACTCTACAGACCTGATGGGCAGCATGATGGCAAGTTGTTCTCAACCCATAAACACTCCATAGAAGTCCCAATCCCCAGAGATGGAGAATATGTGGTCGAGGTGCGAGCACACAGTGATGGGGGAGATGGAGTAGTGTCTCAAGTTAAAATTTCAGGTAAGCCATCATCTAAGAACTGTTTCTGTTAAGTTACCTGTGAGTTTCTATGCCCTATGCCTGGTTTCTCAAGAGTGAAGGTAGAACTGGCATTCACAGCATCAACATTTCCCTAAGTGAATTTATATATAAAGCATGCCACAGAACTTGATAGCCCATTTCTTAGGAATGGGAAAGGTAAGTCCATAATGTAGCATCTACTTGTCAGTTTTGATTTAGATGTCAAAACACCATTAAAAATGTGTAAGATGAATGTGTATCATAACCTAAAATGCATGATGGAAGAACATCTTAAAATGAATAACAGATTCAAAATATAAGACATTAAAAGCAAAAAGAATAATACTAGGTGATTATTTAATAATATTCAAAATTTATTTTATATTTCAAGAGGAAATCTACTAATCTATTTTTTTTCTTCCAACTTATTTTCTCTGCTCCACATTCATTAATGTAGTAATCAGAAAAGACAGTAGATTATTTTTCCTTTACATTGACCCTTACTTTGTACTTTAATATACACAATTATATGTATAATTATAAATTATACTCATTTTCTATGAGTACTTGTCATCACAGGCTTGGTTAAATTCTGTGCAGTTTTGACAGTGATTCCTTCCCTAAATCATATTCACAATATTATTTCCTTAATTTGTAATATTTTTCTTACATCCTCTTTATTAACATTTATTAATTTGAATTAAAATCAATGTGAACTTAAGAATTTGATTAGAAATACAAACAATAAATGCTAAATCAATGAGAGCAATAGTTGATTGAGAAAGGTGATTTATAGCTAAGTAGATACATGTGTTGCTATATAATAAGCCAACAAAATATACCTTAACACAATGACAAACAATAATTATAGAAACCCCCTGAGCCAAGTTCTCCTCAAGCCCACTATATCACATATATTCCTTTTTCAAATAGAGAGTGGTAGGATAATATATTTAAATTTTCATTTTAGCTGTCTTGTTTTTTCAAAAAATTAGAAGTTATAGATCCCTAAGAAAGTTAGGGAATATCTGTGTCTCTACAGCCCTAGACAATTATGGTATGTTTCATCTGCCCCAAATCACTCTTTGTGTACATGTAATTTTGTGTGTAGAGCTTCTGTTGAGTATATCATGCTACATTCATCCTCTTCAGTTGTCCTGTGAATGTCCCTGTATCACCCAAGATTTTAGAAACTTTAGTTAAATATAGAGATACCATTCTTTCATAAAAGTATATACAAGTTATCTAGCCATATTATGTCTTCCTATTATAAGTCAGATATTAGTAAATTTTTATGACTTTTACTATAAGTCTTTGTGCAGGTGAATTTAAATAATTAATTGGACTTTTGCTTCTCTATTGTCAAACCTCTTTGAAAGTACTTATTCCATTCCTATATCTGTAATTGGAGTTTTTCACTGCCTTGTGGCATGGTTGCTCTTTCTTTTTGTGTATTTGATAAATGGAGATGGCATCACATTACTTTAAAATCATTTTTAATTCTGAGCTTTAACAACAAACAAGGCATTTATTCCTTTGATAATGAGCTTTTATTTGTTTCTTTGGGGAAGTAGAACCTGCAAACCAGGAGTTTGTTTTTAGAGACATTGTAGTCATGCATGTGACCAAGTGATGGCAGCAGGTAGCCACTAGTGATGAGTGGGCAAATGCTCAACTTCTGAATTTCCAGGGGGGAGTAGCCTACTTGGTAGTGTTGCCTCATCTCCATGGTGTGAATAGCTTCACCTTTGAACTCAGGCTTCAATATGATTTCACCAAGTGTTTGGCAAAGACTTTGCCTGGTAGCACAGCATTACAAATTATCTGTGTCCTGTGATCCCATGGATGTGGATATAAATCAAGACATTGGTAATGTCAAACTATAGTAAAATAATTAGGCAGTAATATGTTTTGAGTACTTGCTACCTTTATTTTATTCTTTTTAATATAACTAATATATTTTAGGCAATTTCACTTTTCATGACAGTGAATTAACAATCACTTTAAAATTTGCTAATCATTTACCAGTTAAATGATAAGGAGGAACTATGAATCAATTTACACACACTATAGTGACAATGAAGACATTCCAGTCTGCACACACATCCTTCATTTGTAGAAACCTGCAGACAAGCTTAGAATATTTCCCTCCATTACATTTTACATTTGTCAACTAAAGAACAGCTTCTCTTTTCAGAATTTCAGTTTACTTATTTCAGTCTAATCACAACTGGCATTATGGAATTAACACATTGAAGTGGCAGATGTTTGAGAAATAGCATCACTCCAGAATTTTCTTATTAATATTTAAGTAAGCTTATAGTTTAACATCATTTGTCATGAGCAGGGTATATACAAGGATGTGTCATTTCTAGGCTTCCTTGCAAATTTAAAGAACATTAAAAATTTCTTTTGTTTCAGTTTTATGTAAGAATTCTTTAGGCTGGGATTTAACGAATTTCCTGATAGTAATATGCACAAGCATTGTGCTGTCCCTCAACTGGACAAATACAAACTGCTAATAGTGAGGGCAGGCACAGTTCATGTCCACATAACCTGCTAAGGTTTGTACACCTCCAAGTCTACTGTCTCTCTAAGGATTTTACTTCAGGCATTGTGCCTGTTAGATATTTGTTTTAATTAGCATTCCTATTGCTGTGATGAAACACCACAACAAAAGCAAGCTGGGGATGGAAGGATTTATTTGGCTTACACTACCGTATCACTGTTCATCATCAAAGGAAGTCAGGGCAGGAACTCAAACAGGGCAGACAAGATCTGATGCAGAGACTATGGAGGAGTGCTGCTTTCAGGCTTTCAAGCCATGTCCTTCTCAGCCTGATTTCTTTTTTTTCCCCCAACTTTTTTATTTGAATTAGAAACAGGATTGTTTTACATGATAATCCCAGTTCCCTTCTCCCACCCGTCCTCCCCTACACCCCCCCACAAAAACCTTATCTGTCACATATCTTTTCTGCTCCCCCTGGATGGTGAGGCCTTCCATAGGGTGTCATCAGAGTCTTTCGTATCTTTGGGATAGGACCTAGGCCCACCCCCATGTGTCTTGGCTCAGGGAGTATTCCTCTATGTGGACTGGGCTCCCAAAGTCCACACCTATGCTAGGGATAAATACTGGGCTTCTACAGGAAGTCCCATAGATCTCTGGGGTTTCCTCACAGAAACCCATGTTCCTGGGGTCTGGATCAGTCCCATGCTGGTATTCCAGCTATCAGACTGGGGAGCAAGAGTTCCCAGTTGTTCAGGTCAGCTGTTTCTGTGTGTTTCACTAGCCTGGTCTGGACCTCTGTGCTCTTCACTGGTCCTTCTCTGCATCTGGGTTCCAGTTCAG